TTCATAAACAAAATTATTATTCAGTTGATGTAAGAGACATGGTAAATTAATTCCAGAAATGGAATGTCATGGTAAATGGACATCACCTGCTCAGGAAAGTAAGGCGAGAGATCAAGTGAAGCTATGAACTATATCAAGACTATGTACAAATGGTCTGGGACAAAAGAGAAAAAATCCCTCTGCATTGAAGAAACACTATCCCTAAAAATTATATTTTGAAAATAGGTTTTTTAATCTTTATATGCATGCGCAGATCGCCCGAACCCGGCTCTTCCGGGTTACAATCTACTCACCATGGGCGAGTAGATTGTATAATTTGTCGAGCCCTGTGTTTTATTATTAAAGTGAAACCGTGGAAATATCTAATTTAAATGTTCTCCTTTATGCTGTTTACTTTTTAAATTCGTGTCTTGTACAGTGAAAATCAGTGAACTGAGTTATACTTTTAGTTCTTAGTGTTGTAATGTTTAGCATAGGTCATCTACAAGTCTCCTCCGCTTCACTCTGTCTTGAGACAAAACTTCTAGCTGACTCCACACAAGGGTTTAAAAAGTTGTAAAGCTTTCATTTCATGCATTAAATAAAACAACAGAAAATTGCTGCAGCAATAGGGACAGTTGTAGTACAGGTTGGCTGTCCCTAGGCTGGCACCCTTGGGCCTGACTGGTCCCGAATGGGGGATTTTGCTGGACATGGGGGGGTCAACTCCAGCCTCTCTCCTGATGGACTCCAGGCTCTCCCATGGTCCATGAGCAGACCTGGAAAGGCTTCCCTCTGGGCTACGCACCCTCACCTGGCTCCACTGCCAGCCCGGCTGCTGGTTTAGCTGTCCTCTTGGTCGCTGCCCGAGCTGTTGGATTCCTTGCCTCTGGACCCACAGTTCACAGCTGCCAGGCTCTGTGCCCCTGGCTGGACTGCGCTGGAGGGTCCAACCCTTGGTCTGGCCCTGGCTTCTGGTGGTCCGGGCCAGGCTGCACTGCCAAGTCTGGCCTTGGTTGCAAGTTGAGCTTTGCTGCTAGGTCCAGCCCTGGTCCCTGCCACCAGTCTGGCTCTGTGTCTCTGGTCCTGGCCCCAGCAGCCAATCAGGCTCCATGCCCCCAGCTGGGCTGTGCTTCCGGGTCTGGCCCTGCAGCTCTACACCCCTGGTTGAGCTGCATTGCTGGGTCCATCC